TGTCAATTTGTTAAAACTGTGAGCCTCATGCACCACCAAGTTCCTGCATTGATTCATTCCTGTTCTCCATTCACAGCCACAATACACTTTACAAGCAAATTACCACCACCTAGTGAAAATAAAGGTCCTGTTTTGGTAACAAAGTAAGAATGCTTGAACTTTCTTTTTTTGAAGTAAGATTCTTGAGGACAGAATCTCATTCATCTGACGAAATTATTCAGAAGTCTAAGAAACACAAAAGTGGATTTTGGAAATTTTGGCATAATTTGCCTATGATGTGAATGCATGCAACTAGCAAAATCAGTTTACCTTTATTTTTCCTCAGACCTTGACTCTAGCATAAAACAGTTAGCTCCTGCCACCTTGTGGGACTTCATGGACTTCCTGAAAGCTTGTATCAGTAAGCTAGTGAGTTAGAATAAATAAACATTCAGGATTTACTTTCCTTGTGATTCACCCTGGAGAATGTTAAAATAAGAGAGAAATATTTATGGAGAGGGTATGCCATTTTGAATATTTTCTAGTTCATTATCCCTAGCATTGTTTATATAGTTGAATTGCTGTATTTCGTAGTCTTATGGAGGGTGTTTTAAATATTTAAATACCTGTCAAGAATCCTAAGTTTTGGAAGCTGATGTATCTAAGTTTAAAATAACATTATGATCAAATACTTGTCACCGCTAGTAAACTTCACATATTTGACAAAGATTCTACACAGAAGTAATACAAATTTAGGCTAAAAATCTTTGCAGTCAGGTGCAGTTTTGAAACCAAATAACAATCTCAGTCTCATAAAGAATTATACATATGTTTAACTTTTAATATGGTGATAACATGCCTAGTTCTACCAAAAGATCTGATTCCATATGTTTATTTTTTAACTATAATTTTCTATTTTATGTTTTTCCTCTCCTCATCCCCCTCCACTTCAATTATACATGGCCAACTTAATGAATGAGTAAAGTTCTCCAAAGAAGAATAAGGCCGCTGGAATGGAAAAACTTTATCACCACAGTAACAAGACAGTAGAGATGCCTGAATCTTCATCCTCATGTCTTACATGTTGTCTACTGCCCCTCAGACAGGTAACTCGTCACACCTACTTCGTGGAGGTGGAAAAGACAAGAGCAGCAGCAATCAATGAGAAGGGATGAGGTTCTCTTTATTTAAGCAAAACCTCTGCTGCTCTAAATCCCAAAAATGAAAAAGCACAGAGGACTGCAGATGATGTGACTCCATGAACCTGATCAACAGCCTCAATGAAACTGCTGCTTTCCATTCTTGGTGCCAAGTGATTTGTTACAGGTGCACAGAAAGCAAGAACAGTTAGGGAGGAGCACTTCTTCCCTTCTGACATCCCACAACTGCTTCAGTGAACTTGTTGGAGATCTACCACACTGCGTACTTGATGCCAACCGTATGAAACTTAACTCCTTGGAACTTCCTCCTGCTAAAGGAAAAACTGTCAGACTCAAAACAGGAACAGCTCTTCCTGATGCCATAAGCAAATCATCTCTAGTAAAGGCCACAGTAGCTCATAAATAAACTCAAGAACAACAATTACAGATCCACAGCCAAAGGAAATATATCGGGAATGTCTTTTTTAATCCATAAACAGATTGAATTTTTGCTCAAGACTGAAACAATGACAAAACATCAGGCTATGAATCAAGTTGGCACAGTGCATCTGAGGGACAGAAATTGTATGTTCTTAAATAAAAAGTTTCATGATTTCATAAGCTTCCCTGGTAACTTCACAAGTGGGGTTGTCTCTGACAGCCATCATATTCCCCCCTACACAACACCTTATCACCACCTATATATTCATAAAGTCCTAGCAGGCCACACAATTAACTTACAAGGCAAAGTTCAGGTGTCCACGACAATCTCTGACCACACCTCAGCTCCAATACTGAGAATCTCTCCCAGACTGAGGTGTGTCTGCGTCCTGACTGCCTGGAAGATACCAAAATGCTCCTCATAGCTGTCCTTACCCATCCCCATCTCCACACTACAGGAAACCCAGACAGACAAACTAGCAAGGAGCTATAGAAGAGAGTCATCAATCTGGATGTTCAGGGAATCAGAACTGTAAGGCACACTCTGCCAATCCCAACACAGCCAGCACCTTGCAAGGACAGGACATGCCAGGCACCACTATTCTCTTACCTCACTCTGAGTATTAGAAATATACACACCTCCTTATCCAGAACCATTTGGTTCAGACCTTTCCCTGCTACAGAGCACTGGTAGTTGCAGACATATCTAAGAGCCAACTTTAGTCCTTGGCTACAAGGGAAAAGAAATAGCAGGCTCTAGCAACAGAATGGATCAGATCCAACACCCACTGCAGGTCTCAATAACACCATAAAGCACAAGAAGAAAATACTAGGACCCCACATGAAATTCCCCTTTGATGCAAGTGAACCATATCCAGCCATATCCTCTTATTCTCCTTTTATTTCTCCACTATTCCTACATTCTGCAGTGTTGCTAATCCAGTAGGAAGATCCCTGAACTAACTTTCTGGTGCCTACATGCCCATGGCAGTCTAACTGCAGCACCAGGCAGCCAAGCTAGTACCTTATTCTTCGGGATACTTTGAAACCAGTGGAAGCATAAACACACTTCTCATACCCCAACTAGACAACCCCTTCTTGGTAAGTGTAACTTAGTTGGACCTGACAAAACAGAACTCCCAAGCAGCAGCAGAATGAAAAATACCTGATGATTTTCAGTTCTCACTGTTGTCTACAACATTCCAAACACCAGCAGCAAAAACTGACCAGTGTTAACTTTGCTTAAAACTGTTAGTTCTCCAAGGAGACAGAAACATCTGGTCCAGGTCAAGGAAGTGTCACGACATGGCTTGAGCCTGGTTCCCATCTGAAACCTACTCCCTAGCTGTCAGGGTAAGATTTGTTTTACTTTTTCTCAGAATATTTATTTTTCTACAAAAACTTTATTTGACTTTTGCAAACTTTTATTGAGGGAACTTTCCAAGAAATTACACAAATTGATTATTGTATTCATGTATTAACTGTAGGAAGAAGTATTTAAAAACAAACAAAAACCCCAAACCAAAATAAACATTATTGGGCCATTTACTCCTCCTGTTTTTTATTTTATCTATATCCTTATTGATCTCCTTTCACTGTCATCTGTTTAGCCTTACATTTCAAAGAGAAAAGAGGAAAGTTCTGAATGTCCTATTTCTTGAGAAACACCTCTAAAAAAAAAAAAATCACTCAGGTTACAGAATTTACAAACTTCTGTATGTAACCAGCCGTATCAGATTTCCAAGAGGAACCTCCCTGCTTCATGAACCGGAATACACAATCAGATCCATCTTCACCATTGTTTCATTGATGCCAAGCCACAACAGCTTACCCAGAACTGTGCACGTGCCCAAGGATCTGTGCCAAAAAGGCCCTGGAGCAGGATCAGGTCCCTGTAAGATTAGCTGCATGTAGGGCTTCAATCCTGCAACTGCAATAGCTCAGGGAGACTGTGTGACAGGGGCATTGCAGGACTGGGCACTAAAGTAATCAAGTATATAAAGATCTTTGTCCTCTCCACAACTGAAGCACAATTCTTAAAAATGAACTGAACAAAAAACTTTTGTATTTGTGAAATAAAAATCAATTCTTTGGACGACAAGCGGGACCAGCATTCTTCAGGCCAAGCTCCTTAAAATCTATAGGCCGTTTTCCCATTTTTTGTTTTGTTTGGGTTTGTTTAGAATTTGGTTTTTAGTTGTTTTGTTTTTCCTTTAGGATACATATTTTTATTTTAGTAATTCTTTCTCATCTCCCTCAGATGAAAACCCTACAGGGCCCCTGTCTTAAAGATATAAGCCCAACACAGGGAAAACTCAGTCCAAAAGATGCAAGTTCGTCAGCATTTAAAAAAGGGTCAGCAGTTAAAAATCCTGATAGTGCTGGTTGGAACTGTAGAGCAAGGATGGGGGATAACTTCCTTAGGATCTACAGATTTTTACTGATTATCTTCTCAGCTTTCTATCATTTTATTTCACAGTACACCACACAGATGGTTAATTTGAAATCAGAAGGTGAACAAGATATTACAGAGTTTTCTGTGAAATCAAGTTCTGGAATGCTCAAGATTGTGTACCAGAGAAAGCAGCACATGTTTAAAACCCTAGGTTGGCACAAAAGACCACAGCTCTGAACTGTACTAGCCTGAGAAATGAAAGCACAAGTTCCATGGATTCTCAGTCTAATCTGCTTTGAAAGACGGTCATTAGGCTTCCTGGCTACTGACCTAGTATAAAACTACATTTTCAAACTCGGGACCTGAACTACAAAGTACCCCACAAAACCCCACACTGCCACAATGCCAACCTCCTTCCAGGCCAACCCTTGACGAAGAAGCTCTGGACAGACAGCTGAACTGAAGACACTGAAATACACAGGTACAGATCAAGCCTGAATTGCAAAGTCCTCCTGAGCAACAGGACATTTTATCTTGTTCTTGGAACCAGCATAAAAATGTTTCTATCAGCTTCACACATCTTGGGCCACAAACAAAACATGCCTATGCATCCTTGCACAAGTCACTTTCAGAGAATTAGGAAGAACAGAGGGCAATATTCACATAGCACTGAGTTAAGAAGAGACTTTGGGTTAGAAGAACAAAACACCAGGCCCAAAAGCTCTGACCTGCAAGGTTATTTTTCTATCATGCAGCACAAGCTCTTAAATGTAGATGAAGAATTCTGAATTGAACCTGGATGCTAACAGACTTCACAAGTATGTAAATTCACAATTACTTAACCAGTAAGCCTGAAGTCAACAGATGACAGTTCATCATCATTTTTTTTTCACCTACCAATATAGAGAAAGTAATGTGGACATACACAAGGCAGATGCTTTAGTAATAAAGAGGTAGCTGGTGTAGTAAGTTAAACAGTCATGTAGAAACTGCCAGGAAGTTCACAAATTCTGTACTTGATTCTGCCACCAGTCATCTGGTCTTACCTGAACATCCCTGGGTCTACTCTGCCATCTGCAAAACGGGGGCAGGTAGCACTGGTTCTGAAATGTTTGTAAAATGTAGTTAGTTGATGCCTGTAAAAGTACACAACAGAAGAGCAAAGTGTTATTACACCCTAACAATATGATGTTTAACAAAATACGTAATATATAAATGACAAAACCACCTGTGTTTACAGTACACACAAACACTGTGTTTATGTATCTGTTTAGAAAGTGAATTGTTTTGACTCTGTTAGAATGAAATTCTAATAGTCAACCTGAAGTCCATCTCTCCAGAGAAAGAAGCAGGTATCTTTTTCTAGATCTTCATAAACAAACAAAACAGTGTAAAATTTTCCCAGGTATTACATCACCACCCCAATTAATGTAATTGCCATTTTATCCTATGATAGGGCCAACCCATGGTAATAAAAAAACCAACCAAACAAAAAACAAATAATCTGGACAATTTTTCTCAACTTTCTGCCCCACTACTCACTACCAAGTTTTTCTTTCAGACTGCACAACACTTCACAAAGGAAGAAGCCATCACTATCCCAAGTTTGTAAATGAAGAAACAGAGAAAGAAAGAGGCAGCAATCTAACCAAGAGCACAAAGCAAGGTAATGGCAAAAACTTCTGCACTAGCCAGTGTTTGGGTTTTTTTTCCCCTGTTCTATATGGCACAATTTTCAACCTTTGCCAAAATCCTTTAAGGAAGCACTAACCTTTCATTTGCTTGTTAAAATATAAGTGCAGAGTTGGAATGTATTTTCCCTCATTCCTCTTAATATATTTGAGCCTAAATAATAAATTATACTTGATAGAGCATTGTGTGTGCCCCAGGTCATATTTCAAGAAAGTTCATTCAGTGTCTGGGACATATTTTACTAGAAACTCACTCCAGGATCCCTCTTCTTCACTCCTTGCACCTTTAAAGTATAATCTATGCATTATTCTATGAATTTGTCTACCTTGGAAAATAGCCTTGCTTCAGCTATACTAGAAGACAATTGGACCAAGTACTACAGCACCAGGACACAAGTCTATAACCAGCAAGTGATTTTTTTTGGTGTGCACTTCACTTCTACTCCAATTATACCAGCATACCTCAAAAGGCTAAAAAGTAAACTTACCTAAACGCAAACACATCTTTGTGAAAAGGATTTTATTGCTTTATTTGGTCTCCATAGTTGAAAAGGTTGTAGTGGCACATTGTACCTTTACTCTAAGGTAACCATATACTTTTAGCAACATTTGTAAAATAGGAAAATTCACACCAATCACTAGTATCATTATACTGGTAAAGTACAGATAATCCTTCAAGAAACCTCAATGAGATTCATAAAGTCAAAATTTATTTCCACTGAAGTCTATAGCAAAGTTCCCACTGAATTCAGCATGCCAGTGATTAGACCTAACAGGGCACAGCTCCTGGGCAAGGCAGCAGCTCTTTTTTGGATGGGAGGTGGGGGAATCACACAGATGGTTAACTGCCCCCATCACTTTTGGGTGTGTGGGAGAAGACATACTTGGGGAAGCGACAGAATCTGTTTTGCAGACAGTGCACAGTATCTGTGATGCTTTGCAAAGGACATTCCCCTGCAGTTTATCTTATGTACAGATTCAGAGCGCTCAGGCTAAGACAGGGCACCTGCCTTTCCACTCCTTCTATGCTGCCAGGAGAGCAAACTACTTAGCAGAAACACTAGTTTGGTTCAGCAGAGCAGAAATGCTTCTGGTTGTGACGATCAAATTTTCTAAGTTCCTGAGTACAATACTGTTCCAAAAAAGAGACCACCCGTTATCTAAACATGAACTGTTGGTGCATTATTTCACTGAGTTGATCCATCTGAGTAACTCTTCAAAGGAAAGGAAAAAAGTGAGTTTTATTTGCAGTGATGGGATACCACAAACACCTCCCCCCTCCCCAAATAAAAAAAAAAAAAAAAAGGAGGGACATTCTTCCAATCAAGTGTTACTCACATAGTTACACCAATGTTTTAAACACACACTGCTTCCAGTTGGTTTTGCCACAATCCCTGTGACTAACACAGCCAAATTCTGTTCAGCAGCCTCAGTGGAATTGCACAAGCTCTTATCAACTCTGATTTCAGACCAAAATGAATTTTACATCCAGATCTTTTAGCTTGACCAGTAGCCCATTTCAATGTAACCTAGCAGGAAAACACTGCTTAGCACATGCTAAGTAACAGGTTTCTCTGAGATCTCAGACAGAACACCATCAAAGATACGAATTCTCCAGAGAAAATCTTGGCTCAAATACTTATTTTCTGAAAGGAAAGAAAGCCTCGACATTTCACATGTCTAAGAGGGAGTGTGTGTGGGGGGGAAAGAAGCAAATTAGAACAAGAATAATTCAGTCCTATGGAAATGCAGTAACTATATAGTCTGTTGCATTATAAAATCATAGAATGGTTTGGACTGGAAGGGACCTACAAGATCATCTAGTTCCAGTCTCCAGGTGTCTTTGCCATGGGCAGGGATATCTTTCACTAGACCAGGTTGCTCAAAGCCCCATTCAATCAGGCCCTGAACACTTCCAGGGATGGGACAATCACAATGTGCAGTTACCATCACAGTAAAGAACTTCTTCCTAATATCTAATCTAAACCTACTTTCTTTCAGTTTGAACCCATTTCCTCTTGTCCCATCACTACATGCCCTTGTAAAAAGTCCCTCTCCAGTTCTCCTGTACGCCCTCTGAGATATTGGAAAGCTGATGTAAATTCTTCCTGGAGCAGTCTCTTCTCTGGGCTGAACAATCCCAACTCTCTCAGTTTGTCCTGATAGGAGAGATGCCCCAGCCCTCTGATCAACTTCCTGGCCCTCCTCTGGAATCGCTCCAGCACGTCCATGTCCTTCTTATGCTGGGGACTCCAGAGCTGGATGCAGTACTCCAGGTGTGGTGTCACAAGAGCACAGCAGAGGGGGAGAAGTAAAGCATTCTGTTTAAACACTTACGTTAAACAAGAGCTGATTGTTTTAGGGTAGCTAAAAACATGAATGCTTCAGCAATAAACAGCTTCTACCAAAAAGTTGCCTAAATATGTGACTACTAGATTTTCTTACTGATCTTGTACCAAATGTACATGAAAACGAAAATTACAACCCTTTCAGGTTAAGTGATTCATGTTACATTGGCTTATTCTCTTTAGAGTAGGTAGTACTCAGTAACCTTCCCATTTCAATTTTTTGAGGAAGGTTTTCTTTTTATTCTTTATAAAAATCTACTGTTTTAAACATTTGGACCTGCAATAGCATTTTAACCTTTGCTTCAATTTTCTTCTGATTTCTATTTAGCTTTCTAATCTTATCTTTATATATTTAGTTATACAAGAGCTCAATAACTGCTGAACCTTTGAATACCCTACACATTGATACAAAAGAATACAAAAAAACAAGACAAAGACAGGATCATGAACTTAAGTTTGCTCCAGAGAGAGGCCATAAAATCACTTCTTGAAGTGTGTAACTCCTCCTTGGGGGCAGGGGGGGCAGGCAAAATAGCAATATATGAGTAGTTTGTGTAACCGTGTCACCACACTCCACATTTCTGAGCACAATCCTTCTACTACCTGAGGTCTAACGCTGCATTCCTTAATGGTCACAGAAACTGCTACACAGTTCCCCTGCTGCAGAAAACCTGCTTGGAGCTGCAGAGTCAATATATGTTATCAAGCTCTTTGACTGCTCAGATGCTATTAATATTTTGGTAGGGTGGGGGTTAGAATTCTTTACCCATGTCAGCCCACAGACTTGCTATGGAATATTTACCAATTTTTATTTTTTTTTATTTTTTTTTCCATCTAATACCTGAGTAACACACGAATCATCTAGTAACAACTTGGTTTCACTTTTCGGTTCCTGGTCACCAGTACTGCTAGATTCCTCCCTGGATGTTGTAAAGTACGCTCTCACGTGCTGAGAGTGCAAATTAAAGTCACAATCACATGCCACTTAGTCTAAAGGAAAGCTTGCAACAGGAATTTTAAAATAATCAATTTTTTTAATATTAAGTACATATCCGTGTAAACAGACAGGTATCTGTTCATCTTAACATTCTTTACATCTATATCTTTTAGAAGCTGCAGAGGGGTCTAGCATGCACAAAGAAAGGTTAATATGGCCACAGTTTTACCTAGTGAGCTACTCTGCATTCCTTAATGGCAGAAGATACTGCCCAAGGCATCTGCTATTACAAACAGAAACTCTGGAAAATAGATAATGAAGTAATTTAAAAAAAAATATATTCAGGTTCACAGAAACAGATACAGTTACAAGCAAACTCCTTCCGAACAAAGAAATCATATTCAAATTTCAGATGTTATTGTTGCTAAATGTATTTTAATAGAAATACCTAATTGCAATTTGCCTTTAAATTATTACAAACCAATGTTAAATTCTACTGTAATATTATATAACTCAATTTATATTAAATTAAAATAAATTGCAAATGTTTGATGTCAAAACTGTAAATAAAGCTCAAATACTCAACAGGTAAGTCTTCACTGAAGTACCAAGAACAAGTATCAGGTTTAGAACTAAGTTACCTGAAAGTAGTACCTTTCACTGCCCTTGCAGAGTCTTTGCTCCATAAAGTCACTTAGTGGTGTTTGCTGTAAAGCTGAGAAACTAAATGGGAATTGAAAAAGCAAGATCATTTGTTTTTCCTTCTCATCTGAGAAAACAAAGCAGAGAAGTTTGAGTTCTACTAGCTCTAAAAGCTTGCATTCTGTTAAGTAGAATGGGTTACCATATTGGGGTTAATACTTTACTGATATTCTAAGTGTAAACTCTATTTGCATTTACTTGTGTGTACATGTGTGTTTGTGCATGAGTGTGGCTTTAATAAATAGCACATTTTTAAAGGCCACAATTAAAAACCAGCATCATTTGTCATGTCCTAAATAAAAACTTTAACAGTTGCAATCTAAATAAATGCATGTAAGTCATATAATCACTTAGAAAGTGTGCAGGCATACAGTGCATCCTCTGAACTAACAAAAAAGTTGTGCCAAATTTAGTGTAAAGGCTATATTTAGCAACATATTTTAACGGCTGTCTACCAA